CCCCAAAACCCCAAAACCCCAAAACCCCGGGTTTATAAAATTTTATTGAGGTGGGTATTATGTACACAAGTGGGATTGAAGATTGTACTGTAAGTTGAGAGGAGGTGGTATGGGAGGGAAACAGGCTCCTGAAGTGGGGTGAAAGTGGTTTTAAGGAGGTTTTGGGGGGTTTAATCGTTTTCTTTAGCCAATTCCTGATGAGTATCATGAAGAAGAAAGTAAGTGTACATTATAACACCACTTTACTGGAATTTTTACGGAAGAGTGAGTTGGTATAATATTCCGGAATTTTATGGATATGTAGGATATGATTTATAAAAACCTGAGTCTCTCTGTTTTGGAATTATTTTTAGAAGCTCAGTTCAACAAAAAAACTTGAAAAATACTTTTAAGTCGTTTGCCATACAAAGTTTAAAACCCTCAATTTTCACCTAAGTTCATGCAAAATTTATCTTAAAAACGATTAAAATTTTCCAAAAAATTTAGTAAAGGAAGATTCATGTCAAAACTCTTCAAATTCTGACAAAGTTTATAGAATGCTCGATAAATGCCACTGTTCATGAGGAGCTTAACAAGAATGACATCTCATCAAAGAAAGGGAACATTAAGTATAATGAGTACAACAAGTTCTTAAAAGAACTGAAAGAGTTAGCTAAACCATCGATGCCGATGAGGCCAAAGCCCAAGAAGCTCTTTGTGCCAAGACCCAGGATGAAGAAGTGGAACACTAGAGACTGAAGAGCAACTAAAATTGACCATTTTAAGTTCAACAAACCTCCTCTTGGAAGCAGGGTTAGCCAAAATAGCTGTTTTAAGTTTGGAAGTTCTCCTAAACGTAAAAATCAAAAGCCTAAGAAGCAAGTTCGGAGAAATTTTTCAACAGATTCCACATTCAGGTCCCAAAGCAATAATCCCCGAAACCCCAGGATGCGTAAATGGCTGACTAAACCAGTCATAATAGGGAGGACTCCGTCCAAGTACCGAGTTGTGTATGAAAACAATAAGTCTAGACTACTCTTAGAAGACAGTGAAGAAGAGGTTCGAAATAAGCATTGCCGTGTTGCGTTCATAAAATAACTTGTTCTAAAATTTCACTTATAAGAGTTACACTCAGAGAAATGAATTTCTGATGAGAATTATTTCATCAGGAAACTATAAGTTTCCTAAAAGGAAAAAATAGCAAGCTACGGCTTGCCATCAAGCCGTAAAACTTTGGCTAGTTCCCCATGTTTTGGGAAGAAGGATGTTCTTATTAATAACAGTCATCTTAAATTTGAATTTTTTCTGGAATAATTATATGACTGTTTATTATATCTGACAAGGCCCAGGGTAAGACTGCAACAGTCAGCTTTATTCAGGACTCGTAGAGTCCTGAATAGAGAGCTCTTTATAAGTCTTGAGCCTTGATGGTATTAATCAATGCAATCATAACCGAAGTTTTCGTTTTCAATAGATACAACATATCATCAATTAGATCCACCTGAATCCGTCATAGGCTTAAACTACTAAATATTTTTAGTCAGGAAATGTGGTTTAGGAAATTATGCTTCAGTAGATTGGCACATAGGAAAATCATTTCTTTCAGTGTTAAAAAATTTGATCTTGCAGATTCTTGAATATTATTGTTCCTAAGAAAACACATTTGCTTTTATTAAAATATTTTATACCTCCTCGACAATAGCCTAAACTGCTCAAAGTTAAAGTGCAGGAATTGGTTATGAAGCTGTGTGTATAACATCATAATTGCCAAAAAATATCAGTGCCTTCTCAATTTAGATTTTTGACTAAAATTTCTGGAATAAACTTAAAATTAAGAATTTGCTTTAAAATTAGTTATTTGCCCTCAGCTCTTTATTATACAAAATTTGGCATTTTGATTACTTGCTTATAAAATGTCAATTCTTCGTTAACATAATTCATAAACCAGGATAGGCTTTATTAAGGAACAATTCTGGGTTAAGTAATAATTAACCAGAAATATTCAGCCAAGATGGTCTAGCGCTTGCAAAAATTTGGTCAACTCATTGTTCTAAACTCATAAAAGCTGCTCCTGACGAAGGGTTTAGCAATGTTGGGATTTTGAGAGTCTCTCATGATGTACTAGGAGTGAAGAAAGAAGTTTATTAAGATTCTTTAACATCAGAGCTCCTATCTCTGAGCATAAAAGACTTCCACTGGGAAGAATAATTATTTGGAAATCACTTCCTTCTGAAGTGACTCTGGTTACTCAAAGTTATACTGTCTACACTTTTTGTTCAATATTGTTAAAACTTTGACACCTTAGCATCAAACAGATATAATGAAGCTGTTATACTTTTAAGGAGATGTGTTATTAACAGATTACGGCTCATTAAGACTCTCATTAAGTGACATGAGTACATCAGTCTTTGTAAAATCCATTTTCACAATAACTTGACCAAAAAGTGATATTAAAAAATTCTGGTTTACATAAATCTGAAAGAGGCTTAAAAGTACGACTTTGTAAAAATAGTTTAAGCTGCATGAGATCAAGATAAAAATAGTCTATTTTGGAATAACAATTCTTTTGTATCTCCTGTGCCCCTGGGATTTAGCAGTGACAGCTTATCGCTAATTGGCGATATCAATGCATCTTGAAAAATAAGTCTGAAGTTTGTATGAAATCCTCTGTCTGCTTTTAAGATAGACAAAGTAGAGCTTTGTTACAAAATCTTCCCTGGGTAAGTAGTACCTCATTAATTCAATCCAGCATCCTTCATCCTCTCTATTATGACGACAACTTAACTCCATATTGAATCGTATTTTTCAATAGGGTCTTTAATAAAAGGGGTTTTGGGGTTTTGGGGTTTTGGGG